TCTTATACAAAGTCAAATTTTTACTATTTTGAATTTTCTCGTTTATTTGACCTAATTATTTCTTCTAGTTAAAAATTCAAGTACGTTAGAATTTCAATCCCCTTTATTTTTTTTAAAAAAAACAATAATGAAGAAAAAATGGAAGAAGAATAGTATACCTAATGGTGGAGGTATATTTTTCGATTCTATCAAAGACTTTATCTTATAAAAATATTGGGCCAAGAGAACCAATAAATAGTTAATTAATAAAGCTAAAATATTTTTTTAAATGTCAAGACAATGATTAACAAAATGATAGAACTTAAATTTTATATTTGTTATTTTCAAATTTTTATGTGTAAAATAAAAACCTAGTATATAAAATTAAAAAAAAATATATAAAAGACTACGAGGTCAATTGATCGACAATGGTACTCATTCAAAGGGATATATGGTTGTGGATAATCTTAATTACTTTTTCTTTTTAATAATATTCGTCCACTATTGACTTTGTATACTTCAAATAGAAGTGTAATTTCACTATATTACCTTTTAAATATAATAAATACAATGTCTTGAAAAATATAATAGAGAAAATGACATAATTAATGATAAGGATAAATTAGGAACTAAGTATAAAATTATACATTAATTTCGTAAAGTAAACAAATATTGTTAGACATTCTAAAATAGTACAATGAACAACTATTGAACAGAAGAAAAAAAAATTGCAAAGAATTTATTGATTTATAGGTTCATTAAATTAAAGGGTCCCATGATGAATTTTTCAACCTTAGTGTGCTGTTCTTTTTTTCTTCAATTATCATTTATCAAGAAGACTATTCTCAACTAAAATACTCCCACCTTTTCCTATTTTATATGTCACCACTTACCTAAAGAAATGATGTAATTTTACCATTTTATTCTTATTTAATGTTTTTTAAAATTAATTTTATAATAAATGATGAGTACATTTTTAAGATTAATTAACTATTCTATCGAGGGTATAATAGACAAAATATGATAATTTATGCATAAATTTTATAAAATGACATGTATTATGGTTCAGTTATTTATAGAAAGGGTTGACGTATAAAATGAGACGGAGGAAGTAATGTGATTGGACAGGAAAAATAGGATGTTCTTTTGAGGTGACTCAACTATCCCAATGAATGAACATTTATTACATAATTTAATAAGTATATTTTTGTGTGAGAACTCAAAAGTATTTTCGAAGAGAGCAATATTTATTTGATTACTTAAATTAAAAAATATTTTTACCAATATTAAATTCATAATTTGTGTTTGATAAGAGTTCAATAAAACACCCATAAAAAAATCATCTCAACTTATGAAGACATCTTCTACTACTACACAAAAAATTTAAACCTTTTTCATAATTTTTTTTTTAATTTTATAATCTTAGCAAAGTATTTAACTTTCTAATATAAATGTATTTTTTTATAAATAAAATTAGAAGTTTCATTTCTCAAAAGCTTGATTAGGCAGACTATAAGTCTAGAAAATAACTTTGTACTTACGTGACACATTATTCTACATGTTCATAATTATTATTATAAGAAGATATTTATCACTCAGATGGAAAGACATGTTTTTTTTAATCTTATTATTGATTACGACACAAGTAATATGAACATATTGTATACCGTTATAGTTATTTAATTTATATATATAATAAAATTTCTTGATTATAAAAAATATTCAACTTGTCATTTTTTTTTATCCCTATCACACGGTACATTATTGCCTTTTACTATTGTCAACATCGAAAATTATTTTGCGGAATGTGCGTTTCTAGAATATGATGATTATCAATTCTATAACATTAAATAAAATAACATAGGCTAGATTATACTTTTTTCACTCTCTATAATTTAGAACTAGAAATTTGAGTGGATACAAAATAGTACTCTACCCACTATATATTAATCTTATTATATGATATGCTTTTTGCGTGAATGAATCATTAAATTTATTAGGTGCAATTTAGTGGATTCATCTTATTAGCATTACTATTAAGACTTGAGAGCAATTCAATTAAAATAATTTCTAGTTTGGCATGATTGGTTGACTTTCTTAACAATATTAAATGATGAGATTTTTTATTAATTTGATCAGATTACATAATATTTTCTTGTTTTAATTTGTTTGTTTTACTTTATTTTTTAATTTGTTTATTTTTTAAAAATTATTTCCCCCTTTTTGGCAACTCTTTAATTCTATTTTTTCATCTAATATGTTTAAGATCATAAGATTATAGAAATTTTAGTAGATTTTACGTATATTTAATTTAAGACCAGAAGATTCAATAATATTCTTTAAACACTATATCAAGTTAAAATCAGATAAATAAAATGTAGTTAGTAGTATTTAAGATTAAACTTCTTCTCTCTTCTTTCACCACCAATTTTTCTCTAAAATAAAAATAATATACCTAGTAAATTCTCATAAATAGAATCTAAAAATAATAAAATATATATAGATCTTATCTCTGCACGATAAAATTCCCCCCTAATGTAGATTTCTTGAAGTTCAAACAAATTCTAGATTCAAGGAGATGTAGCATTTGTAATGGGCCTACTTTTGAATAGCTGAATGAGTCTAATGGGCTAAGCTAGGTGAAGACTGGGCGTATTACCCAATTATACTGAAAAAGGGGAAAATTTCTCAAATAGTCATTATTATAAATTTAATTAGGCTCTTTAGCTATAGTTTATCTATTTATGGACCGTAGTTATAGTTTACTTATTTGTATAAGGCAAAATGGTCTGGTGGACCCTTATACTTGCATCAGTTTGTATTGTGAACCCTTCTACTTATCTATTGGTCAATTGAACCCTTATACTCAGTAAAACATAATATATCAAACCCTCTGACCATTGACCAGCCTCATGTGGCATTAAAATGATTGAGTTGGCACAAAAGCGTGGCTACACGCGTTAAAAGGGCAAGTGAAGATCACACTTACATTAAAAAATATTAAAATTATACAATAATTGATTTTATAAAAGAAAAATAAAATAAAAATAATTTTCTTCTTCTCCTACTCCACCACACTTCTTTTCCAGCCATTATCCTCTTTTCCAATCAACCCCTCACCCCAACCACGCTCCAATCTCCATTTTCCTTCTTCATACCATGTTGTCATTGTCTTCAGCAGATCCATCCCCCTTTTTTTTAAAAAAATTCGATTCCAATAGAAATTTCAATTTTCTCTTTGACATAAAAGACTAACACAGAAAGAAAAAAGGAAAGGAAACAAAGAAAGATGACATTGTAGATCTTATAGTTTCAATCAAGAATTTTCAGCGACACACTAGAATTTTCAGCGATCCATTTTGGATTTCTTCTCAGTCCCCGGTTTCTTCCCCACAAATCGACGTCAAACTTTACGTTCTAATCGATCTTCAATTTGTCTAATTCATTTTCTCCTCTATGTATTGCTTGTGATTCCAGCCACTATTACTATTGATTTCTTGGGCATTATGTTGTTGTCAGTTGTATATTTTCAAGATTCAAGATTTGTTTTTAAGATTTTCATTTTCAATGTCCCTTTTCTTTTATACGAAGACAAATTTAAATGGAAGAAAAAATAAGGATGGAGGTGATGATAATGGTGGTTGTGGGTGGTGGAGGTAAGTTGAATGGAAGGTGGAGGAAGGTGAGAGAAATATGAATTTTATTTGAAAGAATTATTTAACCTTCTATTTAGTATATTAATTAATAATTTTAAAAAAGTTAAAAAAGATAATTATGACATGGTATTAATTTATGTGACATGAATTTGACATGTCATCTATTCAATGGAGAGTGAGATACACACATGGTAGGAGGGGCTTAAAAATCATTTTTTGATTGAGTTTAAGGGTTTAGTTGGTAAAAGATTAAGTAGAAGGATCCACAATACAAACACATACAAGTATAGGGGTCCACCAAACCCTTTTGCCATTTGTATAATTCACGGGTACATTTGTATAATTCGCGCGCATTTGCATAATTGAGTTATTTTCGTCCGTAAAACTCTGAATAATGAATTTATACAAATACAAACATCTGAACTTTAAACAATTATACAAATTATATTAGGGAAAATGCATAAGTACCCCCACCCCCAGCCTATACCCAAAATCCCTGAGACACACCTATGACCTAACCTTTACTAAGGTCCTATTACCCCCCCCCCTCGAACTTATTTTATATATAATTTTCTACTCTTTTTCGGCCTACGTGGTACTATCCTTGAAAAAATTGTCAACATGCACTGGGCCCACAAGATAGTGCCACGTAGGCCGAAAAGGGATAGAAAATTATATATAAAATAAGTTCGGGGGGTAATAGGACCTTAGTGAGGGGGGGGGGGGGGGGGGGGGTAATAGGACCTTAGTAAAGGTTAGGTGTGTCTCAGGGATTTTGCGCATAGGTTGGGGGTACTTATGCATTTTCCCATTATATTAAACAAATTACATTATACAAAAGCTATACAAATTTCGAAAACTACATGTTTATTCAAAAAAAGTTACATACAAAAAATATTGTTTGTATCTGGTGATAAAACTAAAAAATCAAAAGAAATCACCGTCATAAACAAATACAACCCGTCACATACAAATACAAATCAAACGAAAAAAATATTAATGACGAATTATACAAACTTGAAGTGCAAGCCATGTAATTAACGCTAAATGTTAGTAGCAAATTGTAAATTAGCTAAACTATAGATATGTTAACTAATTAACTAGTATATATTTGTTTATATTCACGGAATTTTCTATATTCAAAAACTTTTGAGGAAATGACAACTAAATAGGAACGGATAAAGCTAATTTGTACAAAATAAATAGTTTATTTCTTTTTTCATCAACATTTATAGGGTATTTTTACGAAAATTCTACTAATTTAGAAGTTAATTACTTAGATTCATATATGTATCTTGCCTATAAATACGTTTAGATATTTATATTTCGGATATATAAACTCAAAATTAGATATATTATGTTACACAGTATTAAATTCTTGAAAGAGGTTTAAGCTTAGCCGCCCGCTAATGGAGTTGTCGAAGCACAGAGCAACAGCATCAATGGCGGTCGATTCAGTTCCAGTTCTTCCTCCTGAGTTAATATCCGAAATACTCACAAGGCTACCTGTGAAAACCTTGCTGAAAATGAGGTGTGTTTCAAAATCTATGCTTTCTCTAATCTCTAATCCCCAATTCATCAAAACCCATCTCAAATTTTCAATCAATAATCAGCAATTTACTTACCATAAGCTTCTTTTTCGAAATTTCGACGATGAAAATAGCTTGAGTTACTACACTTTCTCATTATTTCCAATACCCATTTGTGTAAAACCTCAACGTATCCCTACTGAGCTTGATTTCTCTTGTGAAGATTTATTTGGTGATAGATATCGAATTTTGGGTTCCTGTGATGGATTGATTTGTATTTCTCGTGATATTTTAGATCTGTTTCTATGGAATCCCACTACTAGAAAGTTGAAGAAATTGCCCTCTTCTGGAATTAATGTGAGTTGTGAACATGATGTTGATTTTTCTTATGGATTTGGTTGTTGTACTGATACTGATCAGTGTCGAATTGATTACAGAATCGTAGAAATTGTGCGAAAAGAACATAGTTGTATTAATCGTTATTATGTTAGTGTTTATAGTCTAAGAAGTGATTCTTGGAAAAGAATCGAAGAGTATCCGAGCATTGTGTTTAGGGATCATTCTGGTAAGTTTGTGAATGGGAAACTTCATTGGAGTGCAGAGGATCGTGTGAGTGATAATAAATCGACATTTTTTATTTCTTCCTTTGATCTGGTAAATGAAACATTTGGAAATGTAGCATTGCCTGGTCCAGAAGGTGAGTTTTTTGATCGCGAAGTAGGGTGTTCAGGAGGTAAATTGTGTTTGTTTTGTTACTTTGAGAACAAGACTGATGTGTGGGTAATGAAGGAGTATGATGTTGTAGAGTCGTGGACCAAGATAGCTTCGATCCCTACAAAAGATTACGAGGCTTGGCCAATTTTCATCTCCCGAGATGATGAAATTTTAGTGCATGAATCTAGAAGTTTAGTGTGGTTTAATTCAAGAGATAACACTTTCACGCGTCCTGAGGTTAGGATACGTTGTGATGCTGCAAACAATCTTGGTTTATACAATGAAAGTCTTGTTTCTCCATTTTTTTTGGAGGAACCTATCGATCAATGAGTGAAAAAGGATGAAGACTGTGCTATGGTCTTCGAGCTCTCGTGCATAATGAAGAACTTGCAAGAAGAGGTGAACAAACTTGAAGCATGACACGTTGTGATGCTGCAAACAATCTTGGTTTATACAATGAAAGTCTTGTTTCTCCATACTTTTTGGAGGAACCTATTGATCAATGAGTGAAAAAGGATGGAGATTGTGCTATGGTCTTCGAGGTCTCGTGCATAATGAAGAACTTGCAAGAAGAGGTGAACAAACTTGAAGCATGACACTTTGTGATTCTGCAAACAATCTTGGTTTATACAATGGAAGTTGTTTCTCCATACTTTTTGGAGGAACCTATCGATCAATGAGTGAAAAAGGATGGAGATTGTGCTATGGTCTTCGAGGTCTCGTGCATAATGAAGAACTTGCAAGAAGAGGTGAACAAACTTGAAGCAATTTGTGATTCTGCAAACAATCTTGGTTTATACAATAGAAGTCTTGTTTCTCCATACTTTTTGGAGGAACCTATCGATCAATGAGTGAAAAAAGGATGGAGATTGTGCTATGGTCTTCGAGGTCTCGTGCATAATGAAGAACTTGCAAGAAAAGGTGAACAAACTTGAACTTTGAAGCATGACGTAGTCAACATAAAGTTTTGGTTAGAGGTGGAAAACTAGTATTTCTTGTTCTAAATTTTTCTATCTAAACGATGTCAATGGTACTTGCTTTGATCGAAGATCTTCTCCAGGTAATTTCTTTTTTGTTGCTTTTGTATCACAAAACTTGTCATGGTGGGAAAAAAACTCGAAAGGCTTGATCATGTTAAGAATTTACTATGAATCGAATTCTCTCTTTATGCAATTATGTATTAAGAATCTCTCCATATATACCCATTGAGCTTGATATTCCTTGTAAAGACTCATTTGCTGACTATAAAGTTGTGGATGTTCGGAGTGTGAAGTGTTTGTTTTGTATCCCTCGTGATCTTAAATATCTATTTCTATGGAGTCCGTCAAGAAGAAAGTTGAAATTTTTCCCTTTTTTAGGAAGAAATGTGTGTTATAGCTCGTATATGGCTTATGGTTTTGGTTAAAACTAGTATCAAGATGATTACGAAATTGTACAAGTTGTGGAAAATCCACATTGTGAGTATGTTTATGTAGTTTATGTAGCATTGAATCAGTTTGTAGAAATCTTCGATTTTCAGTTCCTATTGATATAAGTTTCATTGGGATATACTCATCGAGGTACATGTTACATCTCCAAACAACTCGTTTATGATATTGAGGATTCATACAGCTGAGTCTAACTAGCTTGGAGTTCAACAATGTTCTTTTTCTTGTTGATCCTTAAATCAGTCTATTAAGAGTCTTTGATTCACTTAATAATTACTGCAAATATTTAAAAAAGTTACTTTCGAATTAATTAGACAAATATAAATTGCAATCAAATATACTTTCTTGAAAAAATAATTTTAAAATAAGTCGATTTTAAAAGTTTAGCTAAAGTAATCTTTCGTGACTGTGTCTTCAGGTCCGGTAGTTGAGCTGGATTTTTACACGATATGACTGCCTTTTCAAATAATATTACCATAAGTTATATATATTACCACAAATTTTAGGATTCTTTAATATTTAATTTATATTTTATGACTCCTTATTTATTCATTCTTCTAATTTTCATTTATAGTATATTTTAGACTCTTTAAATTTTAATAATTTGAAAGACTTTATTTTCTAGGACTATCTATTGGCTATTGCATGTCTCGTTATCTAGTGGCGTGGCAAAATACCATTGTTTTCTCTATGTAATGTAACTTTAAACGAAAACATGCTTTAGACTCTACTTAACAGTTGTCCGTTGATCGACTCTTTCATCCTTGAGTATTATAACGGGTTGGAAAAGATTGAGCTGTTGAATCTTCAAAAAAATCAAGTCAGTTTCACTGAGGATGCGTAAGAACCAGCGTGTTAAAACTGAAGCACCAACTCTTGAATATTTGTTTTTTCTCGGGCAGGTTCACAGAATAGTTGCGGAAAGCTTCAACATATCGTTTTTCATCAAATAAATGTAGAGAGTTTTATTTCTTTTAGTCCGATTTGAATATGTACTGTTTTTGCAGTCATACTTTTAAAGTAATATAGATTAGATAATATGTTGTCAGACAACATTATAATATAATGTACAATATACTATTGAATACATTATAATACGTTAAATATTTTAAAGTTGTATATCCCTATTAATTGGGGATTAGCCAACGCGAGTAAATGATACAAACGGTTTTAAAGTTGTATATCCCTATTTATTATGCTTCAAAAAGGGAAGGGACATATTTTTTAATGGTAAAATCTAAAGAACTTTTTCTATTAATTTTTTTTTTCTGCCCCTATAAACGAGGGAAATTTTTCGATTTAGTGGAACATCATGACGGTTCCTAATTTGAGTGGGTTAAGGATTCTTTAATATTTTAGTATATAAATTTTGGCAAACAGAATTAAGCAAATAATGTTCCATAGCTGTAGTTATATCTTGTTTTTATTTTAAATTTATAAAAAAAATTATTTTTTAAAATAATGACTATATTTGCGGTAACAAAATACAGCTGTCAATTACTATTGATGCAACAAAATCAGTTTTTAAAAAAAATATATATCACATGATATATTCATGCTAAGTGTATTTCCTTACAATTTCTTACCAAACGATGAACTCTTCAAGCTATAAAATTTTCTTTAGGACTCCTTAGTAACCTTTTTGTACCTCTCCAAACGCTAATCTAGAAATTTTTATGGCTGACGTATTGCTTGAATGTCTCATTCAAAAAAATACTCTGTGTTCTTAGTTTTAAAGAAGCAACCAAGATGACTATTCTCTCAAAAACATGGTTGTAAGCTTGGTTGACTCTTTCCGACTTGAAATTCACAAAGGATTATTTCAAACTCAGGCGTAGGAATATTGTTGATAATATCACGGAGAGATATCGGGACGGAAAAATCCCTATACAAAAGTTTGAATTAACAAGCAAGGTTTATTCTAGTGAAATTCTTCATCTGATTTATAAGTGGCTTGACATTGCACTTCAAAATGACGTAAAAGATCTCCGCGTCATCGGAGGTTCTGGATTAAAATTACCTATTTTCAAAATCTTGGCAGCAAAATCACTAAGAAAATTGGTTCTCATTGATTGTAGTCTGGAATTTTTTTCGTTTACGAAATGCAATTCTTTGAGAAAACTTTCTCTAACTAGGATCAATTTAGACGAAAACATTCTTCAGACTCAACTTAATAGTTGTCCTTTGTTTGTCACTTTCATACTAGAGCGTTGTTCGGGGTTGAAAAAGATTGAGTTGTTGAATCAACAAAAAATATTAAGTTGGTTTCCATTAAGACAAAGGGCAAACCAAAACACCTTGTTAAAATCCAAATATCGACTCTTGAACACTTTTCTTATTATGGTTTACGAAAAGAAGAATTGGATGTTATTGAATTTCAGAATCTAAAATCTTTAGATATATCATATGTGAAATGTTTTCATGTTTTATCGGACCGTTTGATGTGTATGAAATTAAAAGTAGCAAAAGTATACAAATATGATGGGAAAAATCAGGGTTTGCATCCTATCGAATTCGAACGAGAAAACCTCTCGATATTTGCCTTTCGAGGATGGGAGACATTTTTATTTTTATTAGATTGGTGATGCAGTTTATTTTATTACAGAATTATAAAATTCATCAATTTGTACGTACTTTAAATGGACACTGTTTTCTTGTAGTTTATGTGAATTTATTTTATGATTACCTACCCACGATAATTTTGATTTAATAACACATTTAGTTAGTTATAATGTCTTAAATATCAAAATATATTAATAAATTGACATACTTCCAAGCTAATCAAAGGACACGTTATTTCTAATATAATAAGGAGTTATTTTAAAATAACAAATTTAATTGATTTTAAAGTCTTAATAATAGGATAATAATTAAATAATAATGAGTAGAAAACCTTTTCCTATTTTTTTGGACTCTTTTGACGGTTTTTTGCCCTTATTTGGTCCTATATTTTTGGACGTTTTTTAAAACTCTTTTTTTGCTTATTATTTTGATTGTTTTTTTTTGGATCAAGTCAGTTGAAAAAAGATTCATTTAACCATAGATAGTCTTTTCCATTTAATTTTTTATTATGCTTATTATAGTTAACATTTATATAATTAAAATAATGAAATTATAATTGAAGAAAAATGGTGAAAAAACGATTTTGTCTGAAGTGAAGTATTTTAATGCAGAGTAAAAAGTTCGAACAACATTATCAACAACCTTACACTTTTAATATAGTATATATATATATAATATATCTTACTAATATATTTTAGGAGTCCTTAGACATTTGAGTTTGTAGCCTCTCTAATTTCTTTGAAACTCTCGATGTTTGTATGCCCAAACCCTAATCTTCTTTCTTTTTTCTTGATTTGTAACCTATAAATAAATTAATTAGGGATTTCTTCATATAAAAAAATTGTATTGTAGAAATTTCTATGGCTGACATATTGCCGGAATGTCTCATTCAAAAAATACTCTGTTGTCTTAATTTTAAAGAAGCAACCAAGATGACCATTCTCTCCAAAACATGGTTGCAAGCATGGTTGACTCTTCCTGACTTGAAATTCACAATGTATTATCTCAATCGCAATACGAATATAGTGGACAATATCATGGAGAGATATAGGGACGGAAAAATCCCTATACAAAAGTTTGAATTATCATATTTTGTTCATTATACTAGTGATTTTTTCCATCTTATTGATAAATGGCTTGATATCGTATTTCAGAATGGTGTAGAAAATCTCATCTTTAGAGTTCATGTTAGTAGATCATACCGCTGGTCTATTTTTAAAATCATGGCAGCAAAATCGTTAAGAGAATTGGTTCTGAGTAATTGTGATCTAATGTATGATTCGTTATCTAGTGGTGTGGCGGGAACTTGTTCTTCTTTGAGAAAGCTTTCTCTATCTTATATAATTTTAAACGATAACATACTTCAAACTCTACTTAATAGTTGTCCCTTGATTGTCACTTTCACCCTACAGTATTGTTCGGGGTTAGAAAAGATTGAGTTGCCGAATCTTCAAAAGATCAAGTCAGTATCAATGAAGATGAATAAGAACCAGCGTGTTAAAATTGAAGCACCAACTCTTGAACATTTGTTTTTCTCCGGTTTTGAGGATGAGTATCCTATGTTGGATATTATTGATCGATGCTCCAAATTTGGTATCACTTGAGTATATAGGAAATCAAATTCCAAAGACTTTTGTAGATACTGATTTGCAATGGAGTTGTCATCCTACAAGATTCATCCTTAGCTCAACTATTACAACGATTAAATGTTTCATGGATCGCTTAATGTATATGAAGAGTTCGAGTCATTCTACTTCGAATGGAAACTATGTTTTACATAGTCAACTAAAAGAAGTAAAAGCCTACAAATTTGATCATGAAAACCATGGGTGGCATCATGTACAACTTGAAAATGGAAATCTACTGTTCCTTAGAAAGTGGGAGAGATTTTCTTTTTTATTAGAATATTGGTGATGCAATCTGTTTACATCATGTAAGTTAGATAACTATAATTCGTAGTATTACTCTTGTAGTTTCTTGTCCTTTGAGTTTGGTTATTATGTGTTGGTCTTTTAGTTGGATTATTGTTTTATCTTGTTATGACTACTGTTCAATATGATTTGTCAGGTTGTCTATAGTATTTTGTCATGACTTTTTCATTTTCGTTATTTCTTTCTCTTTAATGCTTTGTATTATTTTTCCTTGAGCCGAGGATGTATGAAAAACAACTTCTCTACCTCGATAGAGGTAAGGTCTGCATACATTTTTTCTGTGTTTCTAGGGGATGTTTCCACACCACACATCAATTAACAAGGATAAATGTAAAATTTTCAAAAAGGTCATTGTTTTCCTATCAGGTAAGAAAAAATATATCTAATATAATCGAATAGTAATATTCGAATGACAACAAAAATAGAAAGGAAGAACTCTCTAAACATGTATCTAAAGACACTTTAATATTTAAAATATATATTTTGGTTGTTTCCTAGTTTAATGATGCTATATAAATAAACACGAGCTAACACAATTTAATCCTAATTCAACTTGGTTTTGTTTAGATTTGCAACCTATAAATAAATTAATTAGGTTTTTCTTCTATTTGGCATAAATTATATGGCTGACATATTGCCGGAATGTCTCATTCACAAAATACTTTGTTTTCTTAGTTTTAAAGAAGCAACCAAGATGACAATTCTCTCGAAAAATCCCTCTACAAAAGTTTGAATTATCACACTATGTTTATTCTAGTAATGTTTTCAATTTTATTGATAAATGGCTTGACATCGCACTTCAGAATGGTGTAAAAGATCTCATCCTTAGAGTTCATGTTAGTAGATCATACCGCTGGTCTATTTTTAAAATCATAGCAACAAAATCATTAAGAGAATTGGTTCTGAGTTATTGTGATCTAATGTATGATTCGTTATCTAGTGGTGTGGCGGCAAAATGCCCTTCTTTGAGAAAGCTTTCTCTATCTCATGTAATTTTAAACGATAACATGCTTCAAACATTACTTAATAGTTGTCCTTTGATTGTCACTTTCAACTTAGAGTATTGTTCGGTGTTGAAAAAGATTGAGTTGCTGAATCTTCAAAAGATTAAGTCAGTTTCAATGAGGATGTGTAGGTACCAGCGTGTAAAAATTGAAGCACCAACTCTTGAACATTTGTTTCTCTCCGGTTTTGAGGATGAATATCCTATGTTGGATATTATTGATGCTCCAAATTTGGTATCACTTGAGTATTTAGGAAATCAAATTCCTAAGACTTTTGTAGAAGCTAATTTTCAATGGAGTTGTCATCCTACGAGATTCATCCTTGGCTCAAATACTACAAGGATTAAACGTTTCTTGGATTGTTTATTGTATATGAAGAATTCGAGTCATTCTACTTCTTGTGGAAACAAGGATTTGCATAGTATGCAATTAAAAGAAGTAAAAGCCTACAAATTTGATCACGAAAACCAGAGGTGGCATCATGTACAACTCGAAAGTGGAAATCTGTTATCCCTTAGAAAGTTGGAGAGATTTTGTTTTATATTAGATTGGTGATGCAATCAGTAGTATTACTCGTGTAGTTTCTTGTCCTTTGAGTTTGATTATTATCTGTTTGGTTGTTGGTTTTTTACTTGGATTATTGTTTTGTCTTTGTTATGACGGTTGGTTGTTGATTTTTTACTTTGATTTTGTTATGACTACTGTTCAGTATGATTTGTTAGATTGTCTTTATAATATTTTGCCATGACTTCAATTTCGTTATTTCTTTCTCTTTAATGCTTTTGCACCATTTTCCTTGAGTCCAGAGTATATGTTAAACAACTTATCTACCTCGAATTCATATATATAATAATTGTATATTAATAAAAGCTAACTCATAGAATACATAACAATTCATTAGGCTTAAAATTAGGGACAAGGTGGTAAATATGACAAACAAAACAGTTTTATAAGTGTATATTCCTATTAATTAGGCTAAAAAAGGAAAATATTTTATACCGATACTCCAAAAAAAAATTAAGAGAATTAATTATTAAGTGCTGAATATCTAGAACAAGAAAATTGGTTAGAGAAATTGCATTATTTAGTGGAGTAGGAGTTATATTTTTTAAAATATTTTTTTATTCTTTAACTTTAGTTTATAACTTATATACATTATTTAGTTGAGTAGGAGTTATATTTATATGTTTATTTTTTAATAAATAGTGTTCTTAAAGAAGCAGCCAAGATGAGCATTCTCTCGAAAACGTGGTTGCAAGCATGGTTGACTCTTCCCGACTTGAAATTCACCTTTGATTAGCGCAAAGGTAATATTAAAATTGTTGACAATATCATGGAGAGATATAGGGACGAAAAAATCCCTATAGAAAAGTTTGAATTATCAAAGTCTTTTTTTAATAGTGAAATTGGCCGTCTAATTGATAAGTGGCTTCACATTACACTTTAGAAAGATCTCATCTTTAAAGCTTATAGCTTTCCATTGTACCCCATTCCTATTTTCAAAATCTTAGCAGCAAAATCGTTAAGAGAATTGGTTCTGAATGAGTGTGATCTAATGCATTATGTCTCATTATCTAGTGGTGTAACGAATTGCAAGTCTTTGAGAAATCTTTCTCTAAATGAGGTCAATTTAGACAAAAACATGCTTCAGACTCTACGTTATCGTCCAAATCCTGTCTATCACCATTACTTATAAGCAAATCCTAGCGACCCGTCATGGGTTGATCAATGTAAAACACCACCATCGCCTAATTGTTAAAATATTCTCAGTTAATAATCAATAATCAATCTTGGAGAACGATGAACAACATATAATAACATCATGAAGGTTCCTAACTTCATCCTTAACCCGAGTGCTCACATGTTAGAGCAGGGTACGAAATTCAATGCAGATATCAAACGCCCAACAATATAAAACACTTCTTTTACTACAATGACTTAAACAGAAACAGAAAAATAATTGAACTTCTAATACAGAGTATCATCATTAGAAGAAATTAAACCCTCTGCATATGTTCGATCAATGAAAAGCAAAACTTGAGGCTCATCATCTCCAAATTCTTCAAACTTTCGTTTCGATTCAGTTATTCTGTTAGCAAATTCTTTCAACTCCTCTGTTTTCAAATAATAAATCACCACACGTCCATTGTTATCGCTCCTGTAAAACTTAAAACCTCTGTTATAACCATTACGCTTTCTAATCAACACAGTACCAGGCTCTTCAATTTTTAACATTTTTTCCCACGAATAGCTCGTGGACATATTCATAGTAGAAACTTCCAGATAGTCTGGCTTATACCAAGATGCAGCATAATAAGGTACCAACGAAAATTTAGCAAAATAATTCCGTTCTCCTATAGAAAAATATGTTGTAGAGGTAGTATCTTCGATCACACGGGAGATTGATGCTGATTCACTGAGGTTCTCCGGGTTCCAGAAAACGATTCTGTCAGGCATTGGTACAGCTAGAAGAAAAGCTGCATTGATGTTAGAATTGATAAATTTTATGCTCAATCGAGCAGTCTCGTTCCTTTTTGAAGGCGTTTAAGATTTGATTCAGGTAATAATGCTGCTCGATGAATTGATGATCTTCAATTAGAGAATGCCATGATTCGTTAACTGATTTGAACCTTACAAGTGATTTCTTTGGAAGATTTAGGAGTATATTAATGGTGAGATCAGTAGGGAAGTTATTGGAATCCGCCATTGATGAATTTTGGAGAGTGTTTGGAAGGTTTAGGGGTTTAATATAACCGACTTGTTATGTAGTTTGGCTTTGGTAGGAAAGAAATTAAATTCCTCTATGAAATAGTAATATTGTATTACTATTTGGGAAAAAGGATAATTATACTCTTGAATTATAGTAAATGATATGCAGATACCTTTCGTCATACTTTTGGGACATTGGTGTCCATGCCGTCCAAAAACTAGAGCATATATACCTTTTATACTAATGGGCATACACATGTTATAATCTTATCCACCGACCGACAATTATTAAATATTGAATCGATGGATAAGATTGTGCCACGTGTCCCTATTTATGATAGATCTAAAGATTTCAAACTCTGACATTCAACAACCTCCAACTCTTTCGATAAACCAGTATAAGACAAGTGTGAATTTCAAGTCTGACTATATTGTCAACAATTTTCATATTGCCCTATGCGATAATCAAATGTGAATTTCAAGTCGGGAAGAGTTGACCATGAGTGCAACCATGTTTTCGAGAGAATGCTCATCTTGGCTGCTTCTTTAACACTAAGTAAGCAAAGTATTTTTTGAATGAGATATTCCAGCAATAGATCCGTTGTTGAGGTTGCAAATTTCTTCCTCTGATTTTGAGTGAATTTAGTCTTCACTCTCCTCATCTATTCGTCGTTGTAGAATATATATACCCTCGTTATAAAAATGGTAAATACGTTATAAAAATGGTATATATAGTCTGCTACTAGCTAACAAATTTCCCGTAGAAATATATATAAATATATATATATATATTCTAGGTTATGGTTGTGGTTTCCCTAATATTCTAGGAATCCTATTTCTAATGGGTTTGATGAGAGGGAGTTGCTCGGATGGTAAGCACCCCTCACTTCCAACCCGAAGGTTGCGAGTTCGAGTCACCAAGAGAGAGCAAAAGGGGTGGGAGTTCCTAGGGAGGGTAAAAAAAAGAAAAAAATCCTAACGGGTTAGTGTAATTTCATCCTATATTTATTAGAATACTATTTATTTATTTATTTTAAAAACAAATAAATATAACTCCTATTCCACTAAATAATGCATTTCAGTAATTAGCTAAAATTAAAGAAAACAACCTTAAGTTCCTGCAATTTTTCTAACCAATTTTCTTGTTCTAAACATGAAGCATTTAGAACCAATTCTTTTAAATATAAAAAATTTGTTGAAATTTCACTTTTAGTTAATTAAGGAAAAATTAAATGACTTTATATAATAAAAATAATATTTAAAAAAGAATAAAAGACTTTTGTGTGATAAAGGTAAGTTAGATGGTCTGCGAGCTATTGCATAAAAGCAATGCTTTTACAATAACCGACTTGTTATGTAGTTTTGTTTTGGTAGGACAGAAATTAAATTCCACCATAACATAATTTAGTTTAAGAGTAAGTAGCGGAAAAGGAATACATTGTCCTTGTATTTTAACAAATGAGTTATATTCCAATTGAATTTGAAACCAAATTAACATAAATGATATTGATAATGTACAGGCTTTAATGCATTAACATAAATTATTTTTGGCATGAAATACATGGTGGTAGTTCTGTTTCCTTCAACCTTAGAAGCATATTAATCTACATTGAAACTGCTATTTTGAAAAAAAAATCAAAAAAATACAAGACTTGTATAATATATTACTTCAGAAATTCGCGAATTCTTACTGGTCTCTTGACTGCATTGGTGTAACCCTGTACAGAATGAACAAACAAAATGTCGAAATCAATTGACATTCACTTTCTTCACTATCCAAAAGCCAAGTTTATAGTACTAGTAGCATTGCTAAAGTAAGATGGTAGTAGTATGAGTTATACTCTATTTGAGCTCAAGAATGGTACCATGTTTTGAATATAGATTGATTAAAATACCTCGTTAAATTTGAACAACAATGGACGTGAATCCCTCTCCTCCAATTTTTGCTTGAGTTTAGCATGGTCGTTATCTTGAGGGGTTTTGTCACTTGGCTTCCTAAACCTGATAAACAGAAAATCATCATTGAGTAGATGCGTCTCAGCTGACTGTGATTTCCAAAACATCTCGTATTTCTTTCCAACCAAATAGTCCAGATGATGCAAAGACGTATGGTCCATAACATAATACAAACAGATATTGATCCTTTAAGCTTATTGGAAAGAAGAAAAGTGTGCATGTGAAGAGATCAGCCACAGTACATAAAATAGCAAAAGGTCTTAAGAACAGAATTTTATGAAACTTTCATGTGTAACCAAAAGCTAGATTTTTTGCTAACAGAATAACTGAATCGAAACGAAAGTTGGTATTTTGGCTTAGATTTTTTGCTTAAATAGGATCTTTCTACGTGGTGTTTATTGTTACCCACTCTTAAGTTTGTTAGTCTAACTACTTGGACTGATTTTGTTCTTTAAAACATGTGTGAAACAGAAACAACGAGAGGAAAAGGCCGACCTATCCTGCCTCAAATTTACCATAACATAATCAAACTAAAGTTGATAATGATTCAATAAGTTTTCACATGATTGATTCCAATAGAAGATAAGAGGAATGTAAGCCTAACAATACCTGTCAAAAAAGGAACGAGAATCGACAAACGGTTTCTTCTTTCTTTCAGGCAACCCCACTTTCCCGCTAGCTGTGGTACCTCCAGCAGATCTTTTATTCTGACTAGAAGCGCTAGGCAAGTCATATTGCTTTTGTCTAGAGGGATCTCTGAAATGTATTGTTTTATCTGACGACGCTGATGCTTTAGACATAGTACTGCTATTCTCACACCTCAAAACGTCCTGGCTTTCTGCACCTGTGGGTGGTGAGTGAAGGTTGCTACTTCCTTGCAAAATTTTTTGCCTTTCCGCCTAAAATAATGTTCGACATTTACATGAACAAATGACATAAAGAAGTTCCCATAATGCACCACAAAAGCAACATAATCTAGAAATAGAATCTCTGGAGACTCACAGGAATGCTAATTGGACAAGGAAGAATGTCACATGGAAACTAGATAGGCACACATGCACATACATGCAACAGAGGGAGAGAGAGAGAGACAGAGAGAGACATTAAAAAAAAAAGTTCGCTCGGCCGTTGGTACTGGTCACAAACCCCTAGTTCGGGTCGAGACCAAGCCATCCAACAACTATACTCTACACTGAGAATATCCAGCACAATAAACCACATGTAAATGTCGGTGTCCACCTACGTGTGTGTGTATTTTTTATTTTTTATTTTTTTAATGACAAGGGAACCCTTTGGGTGCGCACAGGGTAAAACCCCCGCTCCTATGCAATAGCTCGCAAACCACATAGGAGAGGTAACCCGCACTAGGCAAGCCCGGTGCGATGAGCTCGACCCAGAAGGCAAACCCCTTGCTTTCGCTGGCAAAGGATTTCGAACTTGGGACCTCCAACATGGAAGTCCCAAGCCCAAACCACTGGGCCACCCCGAAGGGTACGTGTGTGTGTGTATTGTCGAGACATAATAAAAACTAAGTAATTAAAAGTGCGCCTCTTTGACAGGTTAAGTTTTTTGATGAGATGGCTATACACTTCAACATGGTAGCAGGCAAAGTTTCTGGGTTCAAATCTCACCACCACCTAAAGACCAAAATACATATCCATGTGTTTTTGGCCCATGAAAAAGAATCAGGCCCACGCGTGAGGGCCGTGTTGAGACATAATATAAATCAAGTAATTAAAGATGTGCTCTGTCTAACAGCTTAAGTTTTTAGGTGGGATGGTCACACACTTCAATACACATATATATATGGAGGAACTACTTCCTAGTGATCCAACCGATGTTCACTGATGCGGGACTAGTTTGGGATCTATATACGTGTCAAAAGTGTATCAACCTAGTTTTGTTTTTCAGCTACATAGTGCATTAAAATTCACGAGCAGAGAGTTGAGAGTACTCTACTTACCTCATGTACCAAGAAAACTTTCACAGCCGATGCCAGAACAATATGACAGGAATCATAACCCTGTCGAAAAACACCAAATCAAAGAGAACAGATGAAATCTTGAGTTCATTTCAGTTTGATACGACGGTGGGATATACAGACTATTCAAATCTAGTTTCCTTCTATGATTGCAGTTGACCATGCTAACCTTGAAGTTTATAAATTCACCAATTGGGGGATCCAATGAAAGCATTGATGCATCTGAAGCACCATGATGCATAACCAGAGAAGGATCAGATTTTATGTTCTTGTATGTCGTGGCATAGGACACCATTGTATTTACTAACTGAGCCAGATCAGCTTTTTCTTTCTCTGAGAGTAAATGCAAAGCTACCTGCAAAAGGAATATATCAGTTCCAATTCTCACCAGTAGGTGAACCCAAGTTCTCACTGCAACATTCATAAACGATAACTAACTTGGGCTAGTTTCCATAATAACACCAGCCTAAGCATAAATAAATAAATTAAGCGGAAGAATGATAACCTAAAGAGGCAGTAACCACAAAATCATTGAGCGAAAAGTTTTCTTTCCCACTATGGTGAATATCATTTCAGAACTCAAATTCACCATGTTTATACACTTGCAACCTTTACAAATGATAAGTAGACAAAGCCTGGGTAAAATCCTTTTCCAAATATGCATAACTGGACAAAACCCTAGGAAACACAATATGATGGTCAAAACAAAAGTGCTTTATGTGTATTTAAATAGGAAAAGAAAACTCGAATGCAACTAAACCAACAGATACTTCAACAAGAATTACCGGTTTCAGTGTTGATGGGGACAGAATATGTAGGAATGGAGAAATCAAGTCTTCCACAAAGGATTTAGTTGACAGATGCCTAGAGATGGAAGGTGGTATCTTGTTCTTCCATGAGTGTAAGATTTCCTTCTTTTCTATTGACATTGTTCGATATCTGCAGTTTATGATGAGAAGAAACATCAGTCACCACTATTAATATTCAGGATGAGTATCCAGGGAAAGCTAGCAGTACCTTTGGAAAGACTTGGGCCATTCAATATTTGGTTTTCCTATTTGAGCTACAAGACCATGTATAGACATTGCAAGAGGAGACTGATAAACTGCAGAGAGAAAATAATAAAATAAGGCTTACAAAAATACTAAGTTTCAAGCAAGCAGATAGTAGTATTTCATTTACCTTGAAGGGAGAGATGTTGAGTGCGCATGGTGTATTGATGAAATATATCTGAGTAACCAAGAATATCTGAGCATTGGACCTTCAAGATAAGTAATTAGCATATATGAGATATTGCCAAACTAGATGCGGAAGATCAGATGAAATAAAAAGAACAAAGAAAAACAATTGTGGTAACTGGTACTCGATGCACTTACTGTCTTTTGCATCACAGGGTCCGTATAATGGAGGTGCAAAATGTTCTCATGGATCCCATCAAAAATTAAGTCATAGTCACCCCTAAAGAATCATCAAAGGTTTAACTAGATAATCCAGAACTTCAAACCAAGGTATTCCAATTTTTCACCTACCGATGAGATATTAGAGAGTGCAGTGTCTCAAAGTCATTGGACACACTGCTGAAGCAATTAAAGGATTTCTTTGTCTGCTTTACTTTCCTCTTTTGCAAAATCTTCAAATATCAAACAATAAGAAGAATAATACGGAGGGTCAAAAGATTGATCACAAAGGAAAAAAGAGAAATAATATAGTTAGACGGAAGTAAAACTTGAAGATTTAGGCAGTTATGCTTACTTCTTTCCAAATATCAAAAGCACTTCTTGTTGCATCCTTCCGTCCAACAACTTGAGAACTGAGCTCCAGCTAAGTTTAGAAAGAATGTATCTCTCATCAAACAGAAAATAGAAGGATGCGCAAAAGAAAAGCTTATATAACACATTTAACATTTAGAGTTTTAGACAGTGAAGTTCCTATTTTCAGTGAAGTTCACTTAAGTCAATTGCAAATTGAGTCATGATATAATGTTGACTGGTAATCTGCCTTGAAAGTATAACTTGTTTTCTACTTTGAATTTGATATTTTTCAGAGGTTGAAGCAAAAAAATTATGTTCTACAAAACAGTTCTTAAAGATGTCACAATGGCTCCATAGAAATTAATTTAGGGTGGTGATTAGAACCATGAACTAGTATCCCTAGAATTCACATGATAAGTGAAGGGTTGGATTAGTCAAAAGAACATACAGATTCAGATTTAGATAGTTAGCAGATGTTACATATTGTTCACATAAATTGAGTCAGGGTTGATAGAGGCAATTCTTTATCTGATAAGCAGTTTCAACCTCATCCTTGGGGGGGGGGGGGGA